TCTTCGGCCAAACCAGTACAACAGCGGAGAAGACCCCTCTCGGCCGAGAGAAGGGAGTTCGTGAAGAAGGAGGTAGCCATGCTCCTCTCCATCAAACATATCAAGGAGGTGAAATACCCCTCTTGGTTAGCAAATGTAGTCCTTGCACAGAAGCCTCCTACCTTCCGCATGTGCGTGGACTACACTGATCTGAATAAGGCGTGCCCTATGGACCCCTTCCCTCTGCCAAACATTGATCAACTGGTGGATGAGACCGCGGGATGCGAAATCATGTCCTTCCTCGACGCATTCCGCGGGTATCATCAAATCTATATGCATGAAGAAGACGCTGAAAAAACTGCCTTCATGACACCCGAAGGCATCTTCTGCTACCTCGTGATGGCCTTCGGCCTCAAGAATTCAGGCGCCACCTACACCCGAATGGTGGCCAGGGTCTTTCAAGCTGTCTTGGGGCGCACTATGGAGGCCTATGTTGACGATATGATTGTCAAGAGCAAGAAGGCCGGCACTCACGCCGAGGACCTCCAGGAAATCTTCGCCATCATGCAAAAATTCAACCTCCGATTGAATCCAAAGAAATGCACCTTCGGCGTACAAGGTGGAAAGTTCTTGGGCTATATGGTAAGCCGAAGGGGTATCGAGGCCAACCCCGAGAAAATTCAGGCCATCATCAATATGGAGCCTCCGCGCAACGTCAAAGAAGTTCAACGGTTGACGGGTCGCCTGGCGGCCCTCAACCGATTCCTCTCTAAGTCAGCCGAGAGGGCCCTCCCATTCTTCCAAATCATGAGGAAGACAGCTGGCTTCCAATGTACATCTGAGTGTCAAGAGGCCTTCGACGAACTTAAGAAGTACCTCTCCTCTCCCCCAGTGCTCTCCAAACCAAAGGCGGGGGAGACTTTATATTTGTATCTCGGTGTTAGCCCTGCGGCTATCAGCTCAGTACTGATCCGAGAGGAAGACGGCATCCAACATGCCATCTTCTACGTCAGCAAAACCCTCCGGGAGGCCGAACTCAGGTATTCTCCCGTCGAGAAGACGGTGCTAGCCATCGTTTGGACCGTCAAGAAGCTTGGCCACTACTTTCAAGCTCATCCGGTCCAAGTGCTCACTCATCAACCCCTCGGCGCCCTCATGAGAAGTCCCACTAGTTCCTCCCGGATGGTAAAATGGGCCATCTTCCTCAGCCAATACAACATAGACATCCGTCCGAGGCCTGCCATTAAGGGCCAAGCCCTGGCAGACTTCGTAACGGAATGCACCGCGAGATCAGCAACTGACGAGGAGCCTTCGGCGCCCCTCGATGAGTGGTGGACACTCTACACCGATGGCTCCTCAGCCACCAAAGCGTGCGGAGGAGGAGTAGTTCTCATCACACCCGAGGGCTTCCGCGCATATTATGCCATTCGCTTCTCCTTCAAAGTCTCCAACAACGAAGCCGAGTATGAGGCCCTCCTCTGTGGCCTTCGGCTAGCAGCAAACCTGAAGGCTAGAATGATCCACGTCAAGTGCGACTCTAAACTTGTCGTGGGTCAAATCTCCGGGGAGTACGAGGCCAAGGAAGAAAGGATGAAACAATACAAAGAAGCGGCTAAGGAGTTGCTCAAGGTGTTTGAGGCACATTCTCTCACCCAAATACCGAGGGCCCAAAACTCCGAGGCCGACATTCTATCCAAGCTTTCGGACGAATCCCCAGAGCACCTCTCCAAAATAGCAAGAATTGAGGAACTCAGCCTCTCAAGCATCCACGCGAGCCCCGTCACGAGCATTAACCTGAGGTCGGAGGATTGGATCTCTGACATCATCGCCTTCATCACCACAGGGCAATTGCCCCAAGACGAGGCCCGCGCCAAGATAGCAAAGCTGAGGGCTCCCAGCTACACCATTGAAAACGGGAGACTTTACAAGAGATCTTACAACGGCACCCTCCTTCGGTGCCTTCATCAAGACGAAGCCGAAGTCGCTATGGAGGAAGTGCACAGTGGCACTTGCTCAGCTCACCAGGGGCCCTTCTCCATGTCCCGAAGGCTCATTGTTCAAGGGTACTTCTGGCCCACGATGGCTAGAGATTGTGCTGATCTAGCCCGAAGGTGCACCGCCTGCCAACACTTTCAGAAGGCTCCCGGCAGGCCCGCGGTCAACTACGCCCCCATCAGCACCGCCATACCCTTCTCCAGATGGGGTATCGACCTTGTGGGCCCTCTGCCGAGGGGTACCTCCAACAACAGGTACATCATCGTGGCCATTGACTACTTCACCAAATGGGTAGAAGCCGAGCCCCTAGCCAGCATTACTGAAGCCCGGTGCCGCCGCTTTGTTCTCAAAAATATCCTCACCAGGTTTGGCGTCCCCCAACAAATCATCTCCGACAACGGGACTCAATTCGAGGCAGCCCCCTTCTGTGCCCTCCTGGAGGCATGGGGCATCAAACACACCTTTTCATCCGTTGCCTACCCTCAGGGCAACGGACAAGTAGAGAATGCCAACCGCATCCTCCTCGAAGGGTTGAAGAAGAAGCTGGAAGCCGAAGGGGGAGGCTGGGTAGAAGAGCTCCACAACATCTTATGGGCCTATCGCACAACCCCTCGGCGCGCAACAGGCGAGACACCCTTCTCCCTGTGCTATGGCTTCGAGGCTAAGGCCCCCACAGAGGTTACCCTTCCTACCCGAAGGGTGGAACAATATGAACCCGAGGTTAACGATGCCAACATGGCTCTCGACCTTCATCTCATCTCAGAACGCCGAGAGCAAGCTTTCCTCAGGGCCGAAAACTATAGGAGACAAGTCAAAGGCTACATCGACGCCAAGGTCCGCTCCCGGGAATTCCAGGTGGGAGACTACGTCCTCCGACGAAGGGAGGCCAGTCTACCCACCGAAGGAGGGAAGATGGCGCCCAAGTTTGAAGGCCCTTACATTGTCTCAGCCATCATCAAACCGGGGACATACAAATTAAAACGTCCCAATGGGACAGAGATTCCTAGACATTGGAATGTGCACCACCTGGTAAAGTTTTATCAATGAGCGGCCAAGCCCTCATCCTCAGCAAGTGTAAATATCAATGGCCCAAGGCCCCATCTGTTTTTGAAGAATAATCAAAAGGCCAAGCCTTCATCACCTACATATTGTACAAGCGGCCCAAGGCCCCCCTTTCTCTCCTACAAATGAGTGGCCAAGCCCTCATCTTCACCAAAATAGGCCCGAGGCCTCTCCCTCTCAGGAAGGGAAACAACAACTTAGGTACCAAGTACCAAGTGTATGGGTCACCCCCATCACTCTTTGAAAACACCAAGTGTTTTCTCACTAAGCCGTACCCCACGAGGACGCAACCATGCATACATTATGCATACTTTTACACACTCTCCCAAAAAAAAAAAAAAAAAAAAAAAAAAAAAAAAAAAAAAACCCGGGGGGTGCAACACCCCTCGGCTCCGGCTGGTACCAAGTGCCCCCGGCTATTTGTGTCCCACACACAAATAAAACCCTTCCCAGGAACGCTTTCCGCGCCATCCCCCAAGGGGAGGCAGGCAACGGACCATGTCCCGGGCCCAGGATTCGACTTCCACAAACGAAACGCTCCCCGCGCTATCCCCCAAGGGGAAGCAGGCAACAGACCATGTCTCGGGCTGAGGGGACGACTTTCAAAACCGAGGCGCTTTCCGTGCTATCTCCCAAGGGGAAGCAGGCAACAGACGATGTCTCGGGCCGAGGAAACGACCCTCAAACCCTTCGGGATATCGGAAGGTCATTCCCGAAGGGGGAGCCAACGGTTTGTCCCGTTGCCTCCCATATAGGCCAAGCCTTTCCTAGAAACCAAGTTTCTAGATGCCTCTCCTACACCATCAACAAAAAAAAAAAAAAAAAAAAAAAAAAAAATGTGTAGGGGGGAAGGAACTCCCCGGATACTATTTTCCCCGGAAGCTCAACACTTCGGATATACATTGCCGAAGGCTGCTACAAATGCGCAAGAAAATCTCTCAACATCGAATCATCTGGCTACATAGCCAAAAGCTTCACTACGTGAGGCCTCGGAGTACTATATGTGCACAAACCGGAGGCCGAAGGCAGAACGTCACCAGGCTCATTCAAGGATGAGAAAATTTCTAAGTCCACGTATTGGTATCCTTAGGAAAACACTCACCGAACCGGAGGGCTACTCATAAGATCTGTTGGAAACACATCTCAGAATTTCACTAAGTCCACAATCTCGAAACCCCCGGCAACCATATATACCGGGGGCTCAGAGCAGTTCCCATACCGGAAGGTTCACTACAACTACCATTGGAATATTGTGGAAATTTGACCAAGTCCACAAATGGGAGACCCTTCGGGGGGCAATTCTTCACCTACAGATGCGTGGTCGATGGCTCCCCTAAGCCACTTGGCCATGACCTAAAGCTACACTACCAAACAAAGGATCCCAAGCTTCCCGGGGGCATTAGAGGCAACTGCACTTGGGAAATTTCCTAAGTCTAATTCACCTTAGCCCTCGATCCTATCGCTACAACCCCGAAGCAATCCCAATGGTTCATCACCGAAGACATGCGATGGAATTTTACTTAGGAAATTTTTCAAAGTCCACAATCATGAAACATCCGAAGGGTTCTAATCAAAGTTTTACTTGGAAGACCTTCTAAGTACACAAGCAACGACCCCCACGTAATTCCACTTCACAACCGAAGGGTCCTGGTCTGGTCTCACTTAGAAAAATTTCTAAGTCCACAACTACAAGCCCCCCGGGAAAGCTTACTCTACCGAAGGCTAACTATTACCGAAAGCATACGGAGAAACCGTGCTTAGAAGATTTTCCGAGTCCACAACTGCAAGCCCCTGGCGTTTGAGCCTTATTACCGAAGGCTTCTGATTATGTTTTCACTTAGGCATACATTCAGAAGGTTCTAGCCAAGCTTTCACTTAGAAAATTTTTTAAAGTCCACAGATCTCCGACCTTCAGAGATGGAAATAAAGCATACGTTCATACGCGGAAAATAAAAAACGAAGGCAAGCACTCGAATTCAGCAAACGAAGCATTCAATATAACAAAGCCCGGAGGCATATCATTCATCATCAAGAGTTGGAGTTTACAAGAAATGTCATTACAATACAAGGCCGAAGGGCACTATCAACTACAAACAACAAGAAAGGTAAAGCTAAGTATCGGCAGTTTGAGCCCCCTCCTCGGCAGTCTTAGAAGTGGCATCATCACCGGCCTCTTCACCGCCTTCCTGCATGAGCTCGGAGTCTTCAAGATCCGGCCTTTCTTCGCCCTCAGGAAGAGGGACTCTTACATCTGGCTGCAGAGGGGGAAGGCCGTAAGCTGCCGGATCAAATTCCTTCGGCTCAATATTGAAGTGCCTGGCCAGCCGTCGGTAAACAAGCTTCTGGGTAAAGAATTCCCCACCGTCATAGTAGTCTTTGCCCTTGCGGGCCAACCATAAAGCCCCGTGGTCCTTTACCCAATCATCAACCGAGGCCTCCACCACCGAGGACAACCATTGTTTGTGCTCTTCGGCCTTCCACCCCTCAGCGACAAAGGCGGCGATGGCATCATTCTCTGCCCGAGCAACAGCCTCCTTCTTCGCAGCCTCGGCTTCCTCCGCAGCAACCTTGGAGGCTTCCGCTGCAGCCCTCTCAGCATCGGCCTTGCCCTCAGCCCTGGCGATTATTTTGTTGTTCTCCAGGATGGAGTTGAACGCCTCCGTCTCCCGCCGGAGGGACTCTCGGACCTCCTGGAGCTGTCGCCGGGACTCCGCCAGGGCCTCATCGGCTTGCAACTTCTGCAGCTGGTATTGCTCCATCCTCTGGAGCAGTTCCCCAAGCCCGAGGGCAGCCTACAAATCAAAACCGTCATACAGCAATGATCAGCTTGGTAAAGTAAAAATACACCAGGCCCATCAACTGAACAAAAGTTAGGAGAGAAACTTACAGTGACGGAGGCTTGGAGCACCTTGGCACTGAGGGCATCATCCTTCGCCCTCGAGAGCACCGACTTGTCAGTCGGAGGCGTGGCACCCTTTAGGAACTCCCTCGGGTTGAGGGTGCCATGCATGATGGCAGTTCCCTTGGTGATGGAGAATTGCACATCATCCCGGGGCCACGCCAGGTTGTTGCCTTGGTCCCCGGGGGGAGGAAGAGCATTTGCTGAGGGAGAGGAGGAGGAATGCTCTTCGACAATGACGAGGGGGGCGTCCTTCTCCTCAGGGCCCCCCTTCTTTTTCTTCTTCTCCGGTGGCACCACACCCTTCCCGGCTCCTTTCCTCTTCAGCTCCGCTTTGGAGCCTCCGGCGTCGGTACCGACACCAACGGCTTGAGAGGGAACCTCTCCCCCGGGAACCTGAGTGGTCCCATCCTTCCTGAAGAACTCGTTGACGGGTTTCTGCTTACCCGCCTCCTTCCTCTTAGGCTCTTTGGCCAGCTTTTTCTTGAGGGCTGCGAAGTTGGAGACATCCATGCTTACACCTGCAAAACAACAACAGAGTCAGACCAGAGGGGTCAACTACAAAGGAAAGAAAATAAGGAAACTACAAAACCCTAAGTACAAAAACGGGACCCTCCGGTAACTACCTCCAATGCTACCGAGGGCTCTCTCGAGGACGGGGTACTGTTCGTCTTTTTCACCCAGAAAGCGATAACGCCGAAAGCCTAAGGCCAGCAAATCTTCCGGGAGAGTAGAGTCCTTGACTGTCACGTGCTTTGTGGCCCCCGGCAGCAAAGCAGCAATCTTCTTCCCCTCCTTCTGAAGAGCGGCACTTCCCACCTTCGGATGCCGCCGGAAGTGGTTGCGCAGTTCCCCCGGAAACGGGTTTTCTGCCATCTTGATATAACAGAACCGGTCCCTCCACCCCTTGTGAGACGAAGGCACATCATCAAAAAGCCTCCAAGGGGCAAGCTGCTGCAGGTTTGCAAACCCCTCGGAGTTGGTATGTCCCCCCCGGCACAAGTTGAAGCTTTGAAAAAATAGATCAAGGGTCGCGGTTACCCCGCGGGCCCGGCAAAGCTGAAGGAAGCCTGTAATGTACGAGTGGCTATTTGGGGTGAGCTGACAAGGGGCTAAACCCACGTATCTCAGATATTCGAGAAGGAAAGGATGCAGCGGGAACCGGAGGCCCATGGCTACCGACAGCACATGGACGGCGAAACATCCTTCGGGAGCCTGGGAGAGGAGATCGTTGGGCCCCGCTTCGATCACCTCCGCCGAGGGGCCCACATGCAGCTGAGTAACGTAGCACTCTGCCCGGTCAGCCCTCGACCTAAGCGCGAGGGCGGCTGTATTCAGCCAAGAGTGTCCCTCGGGGATCCCCACGGGCTTCCCACAATCTGCGGCAGGTTGCTTCTTCTTCTTCTGAGAAGCCTTCGCCTTCTTCCTCTTCTTCCCCACGGCAACGCTGAGGGGTTCTGGATCTAGTGGCCGGGAGGTGCTCGCCTCGCCGGCACCACGGAGCGGGAGGACAGCAATTGTGACCTCTTGTCTCTCCTTCTCTTCTTCTTCCTCAGCTACTTGAAGGGCGAGGGCCATTTCTTCATCTTCGACAACCTGCTCGAACTCCTCCGCCTCCAGCTCAGTGCGAAGGTTATTTTGAACTTCCTCGGCAACCGCTGAATCGTTGTTCGCCGAGGATTGCGCACTCGAGGACTCCACGTCCGAGTAGCTTCCCTGTTGTGCCGACGGCTCCCCCGAGATATCTTGGGAATCGCTTTGCGAGGACATGATTCTGAAGGGAGAGTAGGAGAAGTATGGCTGAGGGGGACTACCTAAATGTTCCTACCGAAGGCTCCTAAGACCTCTAACACAAATCTAAGGGAGAAAAGCGAAGTATGCTAGTAAAGCGAAGAACGGGTGAAGAACTGACCTCGAAACTTGGGGTTTGATCGAACAGGGCTTTCTCTCTCTAGAAAACAAAAGGGCAGAGCTTCGCTATCACAAATATCGCACAAGGAATATGAGTTCGGGCTTGGGGTATTTATAATCTCCCAACCTCGGAATCTGGGCTTCAATTTAAAAAGGCCATCATTACGGGCCGCCGGTTCAGCCAATGGATGGCCGCCGCCCGCCTCCGACCAACGACTACACGCCACGTCAACTCCCCTTCCAACGGCTATATTACAACGACTATATTTCGGCGCCACTGGGGTGCCTTCGAATGATAGCCTCCGGCTATCACCCACCACACCCCACGGACAATTGATTCCACCGAACGCCTTCGAGCCCGTAGCAGCATAAGCCTTCGGCTTGTCAATATACAACCCCTCGGGGGATCATCAACTCATCATAACTCCTTCAGCCCGAACTCGCCTTCGGCCTAAAGGAGTGGGGGACTGGCATACACCCCTCGGGGATCATACACACCAAAAATTTCTTCATGCAACAATTTACAATTGACGCATACGACCTCTGGGCAAACATCACAGTACAACCCCTCATCACAATACATGCAGACAATACATCTATGCTTCCCTCAGAAAACCCTCGACATGTGAGGGGCTGAGGGAAGCCCCCGGCGAACATGTGAAGGTTACGAATACCTTCCCTCAGAAAACCCTCGACATGTGGGGGACTGAGGGAAGCCTTCGGCTAACAGCAGAAGATAAGTGATCAGTCAAAGGCACCCAACAAAACGATGAAAGCTTTCGGGAGAATCAACACAATTACTCCTTTTCCCTCAAGTACCTTTCGGCAAAAGGAGTGAGGGACTCCTGATGGAGTATATGGCCCAGGAACCCCCGGCCCATAGACTCCTATTTCTCCTACACAAGTCCATTGAGCTCAGGAAACAACTCAGGCCCAAAAACAACGGCCCAAGCCTCAAAGTGGCCCAGAATACACACTGGGGGTGCCTTCGGCCTCCTTGGCCGAAGGCTTCAAAACTCACAGGATAGCCTTCTCTGGCATAAGAAGCTGCTGGGAGAAAAACGGGCGGAGACATAAGCCTTCGGCATTCTCATGCCCTCGGCACCAGGGGTAAGCCTTCGGCTGAACCAAGCCTTCGGCCACACAAGAAGCCCTCGGCTACACAATGAGCCCTCGGCTACATGGGGAGCCCTCGACTACACGAAGAGCCTTCGGCTGAGCATGTTCAATCATCGAAGATTCCTTTTAGAGACAGCCAACCACCGCATTTAATGCCACGTCGCATCCACCAACCGCATTCAATGCGGTTGACGTACCACTGACGGTGCCGCTAGGCTGATGTGACCCTTCGGCCGTTGGATTACTGACACGTGTCCTCTCATCGCATTTATTGCTGCTATAAATAGCAGCCCATTTCTCCTTGTAATGGACATCATCTACACAATCTACATCTCAACTCCACATCTCGAGTTCATTTAATAAAATCGACTCTCTCTCCTCCTATTTTGCTCTGACTTCTCTCTAAGTTATTCCCGCAATAACCCCTCGGATAAGATACCCCCCGGGTAGACTATCCATCAGTCGTACAGTTTCTCTTCTTGTCCAGGGTGAGCGTACTTTATTTTACAGGTGTAGTGTGGAAGGGTACAAGGATACTTTAAGCCCCTCAAGGTATCCATTTTTTAGAGAGTTCTATATTTACAATACTGTTGACTTTGTTTTTGGCAATGCACGAGCGGTGTTCCAAAATTGCATATTATATGCACGGAACCCCATAGCTGGGGAGGATGTCACCATAACTGCCCAAGGAAGGGTGATCACTAACCTACGTGGAGGGTTCGTATTTTAGAATTGTCAAACAAGGGCAACCCCTGATCTAATGGCTTCAACTAAAGTGTTTTTGGGTAGACTAGGGAGAGATTGCTCCAGAGTCGTATTCATGCAAAGTAGTATGGAATCGATAATTGATCCGGCGGGTTGGCGAGAATGGGGTGGAGCTTCTAACGCATCATCATCAACATGTCTTTACTATGGGGAGTACAGGAATAGAGGGCCATGGGCATCGACAAACTGCAGGGTAGACTGGCCAGGATAACACAAAATAACCAGGGCGAGTGAAGCTATATTTTTTACTGTTCAGAATTTCATCAATGGTACGACATGGTTGCCTAGGCCAAACGTGCCCTTTAAAGCAGGCCTTAGGAGATGATGAAATGGCATTGTTTAAAATATTATTGTCTGCATATTTTGTTTAATGTAATTTTATTAGATTGTTATATATAATACTGTCTTGATACTATGGCACATAATTTGTGTTTTGTAATTTGTTCAATATTGTAAATTACCATGCACAAAAATAATTTATTTGGGGCATGAAATTTTTAAAGCACACAATGGATTCTTTAAAATAAGTTGCATTTATGACATCTATTTATATATAAGAAAAGAAATAGCTCATAAAATTACCATTTTGTCCTTCATTAATCCTACGTGTAGCTTAACCCAAAAAATTCTCCCTTGCTATACTAACGCCACGTGGCTCTCTAATATTCAAGCTTCTGTTTTTCTCAAAATGAACAAACGAATGTTTAAAAGAAAGGAATGGAGCAGCCCGTAAACCGTAAGCAGATGCAGTAGGTAGGACCCAACCCATAAAACCCCAATTTTTTTTAAAGTATTATAACTTTTTCATTTTTGTTCCAATTTTTATAAAAATATATATCAAAATTCATAATTTTTTGTGATCTTTCATATAAGATCAATATTGATTTGACTATATGAAATTATAATTTATTAACAGTCCCTATAATTATGCTTAAAATTATTTATGTACACTTTTGGTTTGTTTTGAACGGATTGAAGTAATTTTTCTGACTGAATTGGTTGAAGTTACTATATGTGATCATTATTAGCTACTTTTCATTTTTTTCATTAATAAAATATATTTTAAATTAAATTTATCCACAAATCAATAGATCAACTAATTCAACAACTTCTCTCATAATTTCATCCATTTCAACAGATTCAACCAATTTCAGGCTACAAAACGGTCTCTAAAATCAAAATCAGACCATGAAAGAGGAAAATGTAAAAATACTAAAGTTATTTAAGAACAAAACTTTCTTGAAGTATTTTATGATTTGTTGTACACAGGTATGATACATACAAAATCATGAAATGAAAATGGATTTTTCCTCTAATGGTTAATAGAATGGTTAATAGAATGGTAATTTGATGAGATATCTCCATTCTTATATATTTTTTGATATAATATTAATTATTATCATTATTACTCTTAATATTTCTTCTTCTTATTATTCTATTAAAAGTAAATGGAATGAGATAGACTTATGGGAAAGTTTCAAATAATTCTATCATTATAATATGAAAGTGACTCAAAAATATAAATATACTTGAACTTGGTTACTATTGTGGACTTCCAATAAGAAGTTTCTCTCTCTCATATGTAGTGCTTTTAGATATAAGATAAGATAAACTGACTAACAATGGATCGGGATACCTTTCCTCTCTCATATGTACTGTTTTTAGGTACAAGAAGACAAGGTTGCTAATAAATGAGCGGAAGAATTTTCTCTCTTATACTTGGTGCTTTTAGGTATTAGAAGTTAAGATTGCTAACTTAACAGGTTTTAGGTATTAGAAGTTAAGTTTGCTAACAATTAAGTATAAGAGAAGCTGGCTAACAATTAAGTGGTAGAATTATCTCTCTCATACGTACTTCATAGTGCTAATAGGTAGTATAAGATAATAATTGAGCAAAAGATTGTTTTTCACATATGTAGTTCTTTGAGGTATAAAATAAATCAAGTATCAAATGAGTAGGACAAATTTTCTTTCTCATATGTTAGCACTAATAATTTAACTAATGATTACCAAGTTTTTATTTAACTAATATTCGTTGATTAAATATTTATTGTATTTACTTAAACTTTATGTCATTCATTTATTGTACTCATTTTTTAGAATAGTACATACTACTCCCTCCGTCCCGCTATGATTGTCCCATTTTACCATTTCGGTCCGTCCCACTAAGATTGTCTCATATCTTATTTGGTAAAATTTGTGTGGTTCTAAAGCATTCATACTTTATTCTTACTTTATCAATTCAATATCAATCACATAAACCCACTTTTATTAATAACCGTGTCACCCTCTCTTGTCCCAAACTTAGGGGGACGGAGGTAGTACGTATGTAATTTTAAAATTAATATAACCATAAAAAATAATATGTAACAAATTTAAATGAGTGGTGTCAATCAATTTTCCCTAAAACACTCTTCATTAAATATTTATCACATGGCTTATACTTTAAGAAGATAAGTTTGATACTAATTGAGCGGGGTAATTTCTTTCTCATATGTAGTGCTTTTAGGTATTAAAATATATGCTTTCTAACAATTGAGCGGGGGGAATTGAGCGGGAGAATTTTCTCTCTCATATGCAGTACTTTTACGTATTAGAAGATAAGCTTGCTAACACTTGAGCGGGATAACTTTCTCTCTCATATGTAGTTCTTTGAAGTATAAGATAAGATGACTAACATTTGAGTGTGATAATTTTCTCTTCATACGTAGTGCTTTTAGATATAAGAGGATAAGTTTGCTAACAATTGAGTGGGAGAACTTTATCTCTCATATGTCGTTTTTTAAGTATAAGATAGCCCAGATAATAATTGAGCGGGCAATTTTCTCTCCCATATGTAGTGCTTTAAGGTACAGAGTATAACATAAGTGGGCTAACAATTTAACGGGATAATTTGCTCTCTCATATGTAAGAGTTTTAGGTATAAGAAGATAAGTTTGCTAATAATTGAGCGGAAGAAATTTCTCTCTATATGTAGTGTTTTAGGTATTTTAGAAGATAAGTTTGCTTACAATAATTGAGCGGGGGAATTGAGAGGGAGAATTTGCTCTCTCATATGTAGCGCTTTTAGGTATTACTACGCATATTAGAAGATAAGTTTGCTAACAATTGAGTTGGGGAATTGAGCGGAAGAATTTGCTCTCTCATATGTAGTGCTTTTAGGTATTTGAAGATAAGATTGATACGATTTGAGCGGGATAACTTTTTATGGCACATGTAGTTCTTTGGATATGAGATAACGGCTAACAATTTAGCGGGATAATAATTTCTCTCTCATATATGTAGTGGTTTTAGGTATAATAAGAAGATAAGCTTGCTAACAAGTGGGAGAACTTTATCTCTCATATGTAGTTCTTTTTAAGTATACTATTATCCGGCTAATAATTGAGCGGGAATTTTTTTTCTCCCATATGCAATGTTTCTAGGTATAACATAAGCCGGCTAAACATTGAACGGGAGAAATACCTTTCTCATATGTAGAGTTTTTAGATATAACAAGATAAACGTGCTAATAATTGAGCGGAAGAATTTACTCTCTCACATGTAGTGTTTTTAGGTATTATTAGAAGATGAGCTTGCTAATAATTAATTGGGGGAATTCTCATATATGTAATTCTTTTAAGCATAAGATAAACTGACTAACAATTAATCAATACAATTTTCTCTCTTAGCTCATACATAATGCTTTTAGGTATAAGGTAATCCAACTAACAATTGAGTGACAAACTTTTCTCTCATATGTAGTTCTCTTGAATATAAGATAAGTCGGCTAAGAATATAGCGTGATAAGTCTCTCTCTCTCCCTCCCTCTTTCTCTCTCATATGTTAGCACTAATTTAACTAAATGAGAAGCAAATTCTTATTTAACTAATATATTCGTTCATTTTAATATTTATCATATTGCATGTATTCTCTCCGGGTTTAAAATAATAATAATAATAATAATAATAATAATAATAATAATAATAATAATAATAATAATAATAATAATAATAATAATAATAATAATAATAATAATAATAATAATAATAATAATAATAATAATAATAATAATAATAATAATAATAATAATAATAATAATAATAATAATAATAATAATAATAATAATAATAATAATAATAATAATAATAATAATAATAATAATAATAATAATAATAATAATAATAATAATAATAATAATAATAATAATAATAATAATAATAGTATTCACTTAAACTTTATGTCACACACTTATTGAACTCACTTTTTTTAGAATAGTAGTTATTCTTAAAATTAATTTAATCAGTAGCTTATTGTACTCTTAATCATGAAAATTAATAAGTAGCAAATTATAATGAGTGGTGTCAATTAATTTTTCCTAATATATTCTTCTTTGAATATTTATTGTACGAGCTTATACTTTATGTTATTAGTTTATCACTTTATTGTACTCTTATTTTTTTTTTTCAAAATCTATAATCCCTACAAAGTTATTTTTATTTCAATATTGAATTAGATCACGAATATAAATATATGCACCAACTGCTCTTTCCCGTGCGTATGCACGGGTACTATACTAGTGCCTTTACGAAAAGTAATGGAAGTGTGAATTGTGCGTGTTTGTGTGTGGTACGGGCCCGAAATGAAATACTTCTTCTGTTTGACTATTAATATTTTTTATCCCTCATTGGTAAAACAAAAAAAACAGCTTTTGAAAATTTAAAATGAGAGGAATTTAACATTTTTTTTTCCAAAAATTTAATTGATAATAGATTAATAAATAAAATGTAGTCGAAGTAAAATATGTGAATAAGGCAAATTCTTCAATGTTACAATTAAAATAGGAGGCCCTGAAATAGAATGCAAAACTATTAACAAGAAAAGAACTATCGAGATTGAATATATTGATAAATCCAATTTTTTTAATTCTAGGAGGCATTGCAAAACATTTCAATCTAAGACCTAACAGATAATGAAAGAATCAAACTAAAAAAGTAGGAATAAAAGCACCTGGTAGAGGAGGAGAAAGTTGAACTGTGAACACTCATGAGGAGAAATCATGCGAACCGCTGCACGCTGTGAGAGCTAGTCGTCAAGTGAAGCCTAATTGCCTGGTCGTGGGTTCGGCCGATGAAATGCGAAAGTATGGTGAATTGAACTCTGGAATACCAAGGCTTAATAAGAAAAAATTTGATATTCGATGGAACGAAGTAGTGATTCACTTGAGTTGGACTATGAATACGCTTATAATAACCAATTTTTAGAATGGACCTACAAAATAAATAATGGAGGGCCTTCCAAGAATGGGGCCCTGTCCACACCTACCAGCGGACAGGGACCAAATTGCATGGTTCACCAAAGAGCTATCTATCAAAGCCCTTTTCATTTTCAATTCACCAATGCATATGTGTAATGTTAGTTCATTTGATGTATTAATGAAATATTGTATACTTCATATTTGTGTTTGTATTAAAATAATAAAGTCTTAAATGTATTTGTATAACTCAATATGACACTAACAGTATTTTATCGTTTTGGTAATTTACATTATTTTCTTTATAGCCCCTTCTATCAACATTAATGTTTTAAAGTTTTTATGCTTAGAGAACTCTTATAAAAATGTCATTTTTGGGCCGATAGGCTTTTGGGGAAGTCATTATTTAAGAAAGAAGCGACTACAAACACGAGTAAAATTGAACAGTGTAGAAAGAGAGTACTCATTCAATCCTAAAAAATCCAGGGAATGATATTTCTTCCTGGAATCAATGAGAGACCTATTGTTAGAATAAAACAATGTTTTTCACATTCAAATGCGCTTTTTAGTTTTATTCATACTTTAGTAATCTTTCCAAAGAGATGGGAGTGGAATAGTAAATTTGCAAAAAAAAATGCTCTATTGGGACACAACCCGTTATGTCACGCCCCGGACCTACCCGGACACGTCAACAATCCGCCGTACAATATGAATAGTCAACCGCAGTCCAACTCATCCATATTGTACAAGGCGTCTTGTATACTATTCACACATAGTACATCCGTAAACAAACATAATGTAAAATATTCATTTAAAACAGCGGAAGTAATATAACAAGTGTTCAAGCCACACTTGGCGAAACATGGGCATACAAGCCGTCAAATAATTATTCAGAAGATAATATCCATGAGCATTAATTTAAATGTTTTTAAAACAGGAACGGAGGAAGCACGAACCACGTCTTCTTTTCCTGAATTCTCCCGGAGCAACGGCACTGGTAGCAACCTTCAAGTTCTACCTGAAACTGTGAGGTGGCCTCCCCCGTGAAGGGGAGGTCAGTACTTGGAAGCATTTGACAAGTACAATGACAACTATACTAAGTATAATCAAAGTTTAAATTTCCAAGACCCACAAACTAGGGTGTTATCATATATTAGTTAACTTTGTTCGTTTAGTGTCAATCCATCGTTATCTACCACGGTCTAGAGCCCGGCTCATAATCACCGTTATCTACTACGGTCTAGAGCCCAGCTCAATAATCACCGTGATCTACTACGGTCTAGAGCCCAGCTCAATAATCACCGTTACCTATTACGGTCTAGAGCCCAACTCAATAATCACCGTCATCTACATCGGTCTAGAGCCCAGCTCAATAATCGCCGATATCTACTACGGTCTAGAGCCCAGCTCAATAATCACCGATTCTGTACAATTCAATATCTTAGGATCCATTCATCCATTATTCAACTACAATTCCAACTAATATCTCAATACTAGTTATTTACTCATTTCAATATAATTCTTCATTCATGTGTAATCTGGCCTTAATATCAAAATATCACTTTTATACTTTCATGGCTTCTTCTCATGAAATAAAAAAGCATACTTATCACAAATGGGATTCATGGTTGATTCAACTATCATGCCATCATATTCATAAATTTGTATATTATGCAAACTATACTTATAATCAATAGTAATTTCATTTAGGCATTACTAATCACTAATAATCCATGCAAATCACATTTTGTATTCATTTAGGAAATCTCATGAAATTAACCCAAAGATTATAAGCAATATAGTCGGTCATCCTCACCTTAAGTGAGCTTAAGCGCGTTCTACGCCCCCCGGTTGAACTTTGACTAATTCCGACGAACTTTGACCAACTCCGGCGAACTTTGACCAACTCCGGCGAAACTCCGGCGAAGCTAAAAAATACTTTAATCAAGTTCCTAACAAGGTTTTAACATCATAAAACCTTAATCAATACAAATTACCTCTAAAAGGTTATTTTCCGGTGAACTTGTCGGTTTGGCTCCTAAATCCGTTTTTGGACTTAGAACCACCTTCCAACCCGCCATTCCACACTCAAAACATGTGGAACATTCCCAAGGGTTCTTCATGTGATATATAACTCATATGATAATTAAGGAATGGAGGAAAAGTTATTATAAGGTCATTACCTTAATCCACCTAGTTTTTCCTCCTAAAAACCTTTCCCTTGGACCTCCTTGAGCTTGAGCTTGTTCTTGGCTGTGGAAGATGCTACTTTTATGGGATTTTCTTCTTCTCTTGAGGGTGTGGCCGAGTGATGAAAAGGGAAGGGGGTGAGTATCTTCTTTTGTCTCAATAGAATGAGTGGTGTGGGGAGAGACCCACCCTTTATTTTGTTTGATTCTTTTCCATTCACATCACACACCTCTCCCATGCTCCTTCATCATTTCAGCCGGCCAAACATCAACTTTGTGTGACCAAATTCGTGGGTTGTCCCCCACCCAAGTGGGAGGTCAACCCTTTTTGTCCAGAAGTGTACAATCGGTCCCGAAAGTTGTATTTCTTGGACTGTTTTAAATGTATTTTATTTTATCGGGTCAAATAAAATATATTATACGTTCTCAATCATTATGACCCTTATAATGAATATACATTCCCCAACTTTAATTTACAAGTCCCCGAAATTCAATTTCGGGCTTTTATCGGTTAAATTACCAATACCGATATTTGGGCTTCTTTTGACCAATCGGTCAACTCTGGACCTTTCCATGGTTCAGATGAAGTACCCACCACTATATAAATATTATCATGACCAAGATAAATAAAATATATGGTTTCGGGAATTTCGGGCGGCCCCCGCTCCCGGTGTGGGCCCCACGCGAGAATTTACTATTCACGCAAAAGAATTAATAAAAATCACAACTTCGCATACTCATTAACCATTCCACAAGGTTCAATACATTATTCGCTGAAAGTAAATACATTTGGGGACGGTGTTACGTGTTAACTTGCTTTGATTCTCTGGTTCCGCACATCATTTTGGTTTCATCGAAGTAATTTGTGTTTGACATGTCATTTCATGTTTGTTGTGTTTCTTATCAGGTGTATCCAAATGATGATGAATTCCGGAATGCGGCAATAGAAGCTGGGGAAGTAGTATGGAAGGAGGGGCTGGTGAAGAAGGCAGGATTGGGGGATGGTGCTTCTGGGAATGCTTATGCATTCCTGTCCCTGTACCGGCTAACGGGAAAAAGCATATACAAGGAAAGAGCAATGGTGTTCGCAAACTTCCTGTATGAAAGCATTGACAGAGACACCGTAGGGGATGTAGTAGCAACACTCCCTTGATCAAGAACTTCGGCTACATGCCAATCATAGTTTCAAATAGAAATGGCAAGATCAACACTATATGAAAATGAGTACTTTAATCTCGTAGGGTATGACTACTTGTACTTGAATTAGGTGTCTCTACAATAAAAAAGGGTACTAAACCTCGGAAGTTGGAACAATAAAATACAACAAAATAAAACCAATGGGCGGTGAAATGAAAAATAAACTTACATTGAGAACAGTAAAGTTTGAACTTTGAAATAGCAGAATATTGAGCATTAAATATTGATGTCATTATATTTTTATTCTAGAGTTCCCAAAACAATTATACGGATTACAAATTAGAATTGCAAAAAGAAGAAGTGTGAAAAGGAGTGTATATTGGCGGTGGAATATGAAAAGGTGGAAACCATGCTTCGAGAAACAAAGAGCTGGAAATTAACTGCACGCTACAAATATCATAGTACTTAGCATTAAATATTCACGTGGAAGGAATTTTATCCGTAACACTCCCTAAAAATTTAAAGTAGACATTTTTCTCCAATGAATTGTTTTGACGAGAACTTGTTCCCCAAGAATCCTTCTGTTATTATATTAAGATAGATTAGTGAGTTAAGAGGGGGACAACTAAGTCTTGAAGATACAAGAAACCATGTCAAAGCTGGGATGAACTGATTACAAGATAAAACACAAGTGTTAAGTGAACTCGATCTTGGACTCGGGTCGGGCCACCTAGCCCGGAACCGGCCCGAGACCGGTACTGTTTGGGCCCGGCCCAGCGCGGTGACCCGCTACAGTCCGGTTCGGGTGGGCCCGGCCCACTGGTTAGAGAAGGGCGGGCTTGGGTCACTGTGAACTAAAAAACTACTCCACTAAATCACATACGAACATTCATTGATGTCCAACAGTAAGGCACCTCTAACATCCATAGACAACTCCTATATTGTGGAATGAGATTTGGAGCTTTAAAAATCATGATCAAATAGGGTCAGTAAAGTAGTAAACGTGTTGCTGGGTTACAATGTTTGGGGAAAGCCTCCAATACAGCTAGCTAGGATCTCCCGCGATTGCCAAGGAGCCTTTTCTGGCAAATGAATGTACTGTTCCAACTGGAAGGAATTATGTTCTTCACCCAGTTGTAGATTGTTTTCAGAGAAGAGGCTCATTAAGTGTAGCAAAATCCTTCAATAGTTGAGTGATCCTAGCAAATTGTTTTTACTGTCTGAAGTTCCTCTCCAGCCCACGTTTTGCTGCAATAGTCCTTGCAAATGAACCAGGATATTACCCCGGGAGCACAACAAAAAGTAGACCATCATAGATTTTTGGGAAGAAATTAGCCATGAATATAACATACATTGTCTAGAATTTGGAAAGTGTATGCTTTGATCTAGTAGTAAAGCTACAGAGTGAATCCAGATCAAGGATGAAAAAACACAATGATAGAACATGTGATCCACAGTAGCATTCTTCCTACAGCATAGGGGACACTAGGGAGGAAGAATCTTTCTGAATTTGCATAGATATATTGCAATGAAAGCATACTATTGAAAATTCTCCAAAGAAAAATTCCAATTTTCAGAGA